GTGTTAGAGACAGGAACATTTCTTAAGCTGCTTTCAGTTCAGCAATTTGTGGGACATGGTTCAGATCTGGGTCTGTTTTTTTTAGCCAGCTAGTGTGTCTGGCAGTGCACAACCAGGCAGGGTTTTGGAGTTCCAAACTGGCAGGGAAAGCAGGGGCAGAAGTAGTCTTGGCACATCAGTTGGCAGCCCCAAGGGGGTTTCTGTGATCCATCCCGTCACAGTAGGCTCATTCTGCTTACTGAATTATGAACCCATTATGTTGGTGAGCATTTGTTCCCAGTTGTGATCCTATAGAAATCAGTGGGACTGCTTATGTGAGCAACTGCTCACTTAATCGTGAGCCTTTGAGCTAGGCTTGGGTTCTGCATGAGAGTTGCCTACCTTTCAGCTCAGTGCACTCTAAATTACAATGGAACTTTGGCTGATCAATACTATGGTCTTGCAAGTACAGATTGCAGGATAATAGCATGTATTTGAAACCATCTTCAAAGTCCCTGCCATACAGAAAAGTTATGGCTAATGCCTTGGCTAATGATGCTGCTGCATCAGAAATGCTGGCTGGTCTTAGCTGTGATATACACCATCCACCAAGATAGCACTAAGCATTATCTGAAGGAATGGACATTGCATCATGGCTTCTAAGAGGTACTGTACCTCTAAATAATGTTTTCCAGCACACAAATTAGCCTCTAATTGGAATAAACCATGCTATATATTGATGGGTTTTACCTAGAGCTTTTAAACACTTTCTGAAATTCTGAGGATACTTCCACACCATTTAGGCCATGAGTCAGCAGGGTACTTAAGTGCATGCCTAACTTTAAGCAAGTGAGCAGTCACATTGACTTCAGTGAGGCAGTTCAAATGCTTATAAGTAGGCACATGCATAAGAAACTTGCTGAGCTGGGACCTCAATTCCTAAATTATGTTTTTAACCCAAACCACTCTGAATTTGTTTTTTTGTTTTGTTTTGAAGAATTTGAAATCCGTAAATCAGTGTCATCTCCTCACCTATAGGATTTTGGTTCTGGGTCAGAGCTGAATGCAGGAAGAATTTGTTTTTCTGCCTGAAATAGCAGATATTTGACAAGATTTCTACCATTTGAGAAAGAAATCTCCCAAGAACAGCTTTTAAAATACAAATACTGTGAAATCAAAATGCAAACTTTTATCCTAACCAGGACCTGAAATTAATTAATCTGGACCCAAACACTTCCCCTAAATCTAGCACCTATTACCAATTGAAAATAATGCATAAAATTTTAGCATAACACCTGTTTTTAGCCAGGTGAGCAAAGCTTATGTTTATCATTCTTTGTGACTTGTTAACTTCCTATTGTGAAAGTAAATTAAGTTCTGCTCCTTTCTGACATTGTCAAAGATCAGGGAATCAATTATCTCTGTAAAGCTTTATCAATACGGTTGGATATTGACAGATTTAGTTGGGGACTCATTATGTAGATAATGTGCAGGTTAAAAATGTCACTGAAAGCCAAAGTTGAATTTCCTGTGTTGCTATTATGAATCTTCCTATTAAAGAAATGCCCAGATAATCAGATAATTTTCTGTTGAACCTGGCAAGATATTAAGCTCTGAGTAGTTACACAGTTTCTGCAGCTTACACATGATTTTTTCCAAATTAACATGAACAGTATTAAAACAAATATTAAAATGATATTAAAATGTGCAGTGTTGAGAGGCACTGTAAGTTTGATCTCTTTGCTTGACATTATTTGTTGAAAAGAAATTAGATTGCCTATGTTTACCTAGAGTAGACTGATTAAAAAGATCAAGTCAATGGGCAAGTAAGCATACAAGGTCAATAATGCAGTACTGGCAAGGAGCCAAATGTCAAAATCTGAATATTTGTTAATTTTATACAGGTTCTCAAAATGAATTACTGGTAATAAATTAAAAACTTCAGAAAACAAACCAGAAACCTAACCTAAAAGGACACTCATATAAAGGACTTTTAATAGCTGTGCCGGTAACGGACTGGCAAATTTAGATGGGTTGCTGTGTCTTATGTTGAGTACCTTGAAGATTATCAGACCATGTCCTATTGGAAACTTTCCCATTTCCACCCCACCCTCTCACCCCATCTAATAGATTTAAACCCTTAGTCTGGTAAATTCTGTAAATGGTACAAACTTTCCTTACCATTTGTGTTGATGGAATTGACATGTAAGTGAAACAACTGACTCTCTTAAAGTTAGAAATCCTTTATTATAGGCACTCATCTTTAAAGCAAAATCAAAGATTGCCTTTTGTGAAAAACATCACAAATCCCATACACATTTGCTGCTCTGAACAACAGACTTAATGACAACAAGATCACTACCAAATGGTGGTGCATTAGCAAGTTAATAGTTGGTAGCAGATAAACCTAAAGCCAGGCCCAAAAAACTTTTATGAAGAGTGATGTTGTTCCATTCCCAGTTTGGTATGGCTGCCAGAGAAAGAGGGACTGTGAGTGGAGGAAATCAGATGTTTTTATTTAAGGTCAAAATTTTCAATCCAGAGTTGGGGCAACATATTTGATTTTTTTTAAAGAGATTTTTTCCGGTGACTTCATGTTTCGTTGACTGAGTGCATTAGCCTTCACCTATGGAGACTATAGTTGAAAATCTATCTTAAGTTTCGAGTGAAAGTAATTGCTTTTCTCAGAATTCTTTGAAAGAGATTTTCCATGGCCCTTGGTGCGAAAGGCACTTTAAATGGGGCATATTATTAATTTATTATTATATATACCTTTTTATATTATGGTAGCATCTAGAAACCCTAATCATCACAAATGGGGACCACTGCTGCTAGGTACTCTACAAACGTAGAGGCAGATACTGTCTGTGCTCTGAAGAGCTTAAAACTCTAAATGCTACACTTTAGTATCGTTGGTTTTATGAAGTTTCAAGCATTGCAAAGAAAAAGCCACATGCATTCACTTCTATCGTCAACCTTAGTGTCTAATCCTGCCAGCACTTACATGCCTGCCTAACCTTAGGTAGTTTTGTTCCCTGGGACTACATACATGAATGTACTAAGGTGCAGAAGAGTTTGCAAGATTATGCCTTTAGATTGATTTCTAAATCTGTCCAGAGGGTTGAATTTGTAGGAGTGAGACAGGGAGTTCTTATTACCGGTTCTTCTCAGCTGTGTAACTTACTCCCAATAGAGGTCTTTCAGAACCCAAGGCTTGTCTTGTTTAGGGACCAATGTAAGATGAAACACTCATATAACAAAATATAATTAAAACAAACAAAATTCCCCCTAAGCTACTCCTTCCTCTGGTTTTCCCAGTGCATCCTGTCTCTTCTCTGTTTCTGTTAATTAGATTGAAAGCTCTTCTGAGCAGGGTCTGTCTGCATTTTGTCTCTTGTGCAGCACTGAGCCCATTGTTAGCGTTAAAAAAAATACATTTATATTAAGTGTTTATCATCCTAATGGTCCCACTCCTGTCTCCATTGTAGTCAGGAGTTTTGCCATTGGCTTCGGTGAGACCAGAAACCAGCCCTATCACTGATGAAGTGTCCAAACCTTTTTTCTAAGGGTGAGCAAAACAATACTTGCAGTTTGTTTGCAGCATAATCCTAGTTCCATTTTTCCAGGAGGAGTTTACATCATTCATGAGCTAAGGGAGAGAACAAGAAATCCTATGTCCTTTCTATCAGTTTGTGTATGATGATTGGAGATGGGCCTGGATCAAATCCTCAAATCCAGACATCCCTGATTTTCAGATGAGTGGTTTCAATCTAGACCTGAACCTACATAAGAACGGCCATACTGGTCAGACCAAAGGTCCATCTAGTTCAGTAGCCTGTCTTCTGACAGTGGCCAATGTCAGGTGCCCCAGAGGGAATGAACAGACCAGGGAATCATCAAGTGATCCATCCTCTGTCACCCATTCCCAGCTTCTGGCAAACAGAGGCTAGGGACACCATCCCTGCCCATCCTGGCTAATAGCCATTGATGGATCTATCTTCCATGAATTTATCTAGTTCTTTTTTTGAACCCTGTATAGTCTTGGATCCAAGTTTTACATGCATTAATTATTCCTTGGTAGCTATGGCATATGTAAGGCTGTGTTCACAGCTCTAAATCAAAGCAGAAAGGGAGGATGGTCTAGTCGTGGTTAGAAGCTAGCATTAGGAGACTTGGATTCAGACTCCTGTGTGAACTGTTTCTCTCTATGCATCCATTTCCCTTCTATGAAAAGTTGATATGAGAACTTTACTACCTCCAAAGGCTGATATAAGGATAAATATGTTGGAGATTGTGAGGAATGCAGATACTGTGGTAATGGAGGTTATGTAAGTACCTTAGACTAGAACTTTTCTGATTTTAAAAAAGTATAGTAGGATCTTTCTGATGTCTTATCTTCCAAAGTAAGATCTTAAGGCTGGATTTTGCTGCAGTACTATATAATACTGGCATCTGTATTTTTGTTCAAAACTCTGCACCATTTGAAGCTTATAGAGATGGCTTCTTGTTTCAAATTTGCCCTGTTTGTGCTTACTCATTGCTCCAGCAGAGCTTTACAGTGTGGCCTTGCAGACCTTTCCAAGAGATGCTATTGTACAATGTGTGTGAGTGTTTGAAGTCTCCAGAATGTGCTTTAATTGAAAACATAACTTGACACAGTAGTAAATGCCAAAAGAGAAAAATAAAAGGCCACTCTGCTGGCATTTTATACTGACAAGCACTTGACAGGAAATACTGTGCATATCTGTGGAAAAGGAAGGGTATGGCAAAGAAAAAGAACTATTAATGAAAACTTAAAGGGCTGGATCCTCAACTGATGAAAATCAACGTCACTCCATTGACTTCAGTGGAGCAGCCACCATCTCATTGGTTTCGTTGATGCTATACTGATTTACACCAGCTGAGGATCCGACCTATTTTTGTCTCTCACACACATGCGCACACAAATGTATACAAAAGGAGCTTTGGATAATATATATTTGTTTCTTTTCCTCATTTTTTAATAAAACTTTGTTTTACAGGTTGCCCACCGCTTGGTCTAGAGACTTTAAAAATTACTGATTTCCAGCTCCATGCTTCTACAGTAAAGCGATATGGCCTTGGGGCCCACAGAGGAAGGCTTAATATTCAGGTAACATCAATTTTCTTTGTAAGTGGTAGAACGGCTTAGGGTTGTAGTGTTCTGCAGACAGTGCTAATGGATGGTTATAGGTTTTGACTACCTTGTCAGCTCACATTATTCAAATGAGGGGGAAAAATTGAATTATACTGGTGGATAGGGTTGATGAAGAGTTCTGAAGTTGTGGGGTTTGTTTTGTGCTTTAAAAAGCTCTACATTTTATGTTGCTTAGCATTCAAATCCTAATGGAATTCCATAAAGTAAAGAAGGTGAGGTGGAGAGAAGCAGGGAAAAGAACCTTCCTGTGTTAACAGAGCACAAAGAGGAGAGAAGGATATTTGAGAAGCAAGAACATTTTGTTTCATTATTTGCCTGTAAATAATGAACCTGGTGAATAGAAAAAACATTATTAAGCAAAGTAACTTGTCGCCAGACAGCTTTTCCCAGGCAATGATACTTCTACCAAAAATATAGCAATTTGGAAGCCACTTGTATATGTTCTTGTGTCTGCTGTGTTAGTTATTTTCTCTTTATATGGTTTTATCTCTTTTATTCCAGCATCAGTCTTAGGCAAAAGACAAAATTCTAGGCACATGAATAGCATTATTTAATGGAATTGCTAATATGCAAGAACAGGTTTAAGTGCTTTGTGGGAACAAGTCCTCAGTCCCAAACTCTTGTTCTTAATTGTTTTTTCACTTTTAATAGTGCTTCCTTCTCTACCCCATTCCCTTCCAGTCTGAAACCATTGCTAATACAAAAGAGAGCACAATATCTATAGCTCGATAGCATGTACAGGACATTAGTCACCAAATTAGAAGTGAAAAGTTGCTAAAGTCTCAACTGGTTTTATGGTTCCAGTTTATTAATCTTTGCCTGTCTATCCCTCCCATAAGAGTCTCTTTTCTAACTGAGAGTCATTGTCTGATGGACTGAGCATGGGACTAGTGGCCATTAATTTTTGAGTTCTAATCCTGGCCTTGAAATTCACCTCCTTTTTTCAAGTTGACAAGTCACTTAATGTCTATGCCTGAGTTTCTCAATTTGAAAAACAAAACCAAACCAGGAATAATAATGACTTTGTATGGTTGTTCTGAACATTAATTGATATTTCTTAAGCTCTTTGTGATCATTAGATGAATGGTACTATGTAAGTACCAAAGAATGATGATAGTTACATTTTATTTGTGTAGAATAATGCTATAGAAATGGTAAAAGTATTACCGGGTACTGAGATGCATACCTGGTTCCTTGTCTCAACAGCCTGTCAGTCCTTGTTTGATGCTTGTTGCTATATACTGCCTTTCATTTTATATTGTAACCTGTCTGCACTGTCTTCCATATGTAATTGGGATCTCAGGCTATCCCCAGTTATTTAGTTCTTTTAAATTAGAGAGTGAATTAATTGTGAAATGTCTGGTTTTGGGACATCGGCAGGGGGGGAGGGAAGTCACACAAACATCTTGAAACTGAGACCAAAGGCAAGTGTATTATAGATCTAATTCACCCCGGAGTTGCTCTAGTTGTATGCTGGTGTAAATCCACTGAAGTCAAAGGAATTAAACCAGCCTAAAACTGGAGTTATGTGGTGTGAATCAGTTTCCATATATTTATTAACTGATTAAGCAAATCAAGGTACATATTTCAGGGAGATCTATTTACCCTACCTGAGACATTAGTGATAGAACAGAGTCATGGATCAGATGACTTTGAGGCGAGTGGAATTTACCAACATTAGAAGTGACTCTTTCTTGCTGTGAAGTTCCTTCCAAACTTGAATTCGGCTTGACACTTTCCTTTAGTCTAATAGAGTGGAATTCAATAAATGAAGTAATCTGATTCAGGCTGCAGTTACTTCCAAGATGGTTCCTTCAGTCTCTTCCCTCCAATGCACTTACCAAAACCAGAATCAGTGCATTGTTCAAGGGGCAAACAGGATGATGGTGAATGTGTTTAAGGCTTGAAAGTATATTTTAAAAGTATAAAAATAGTTGAGGGGGCCACTCTCAGGTTTATGACTAGATCAAAACCTTGTAACTGGAATGTGAACAGAAAAGGGGCTCAGGCCAACTATTCCTTTCAGAACAGCTAAGTGGCACGCCAGCTGGACAGTTTCCATAACATTTGGTCGTTTATTCGGGTTTCTTGTCTCCAGTCTGCTAGGTTTCAGGGTTTTTCTGGGCCACAGAACTCCTTTCTTTCTTGGGTCTTTCTCTCATCTTGATCAGTGTCCAATTCTTCCTCCTGCAAATGAGCTGCTGCCACTTGCTGTTTCCCAGCAGTTCTTCAGACACCACTGGCTGTGACTGTAATATCTGTACCAATTTTTAGATAGTGACTCCATTTTTCTCCATAGCGAAGCTCATGCTTCCATCTAGGTGGTTGGCTGAGGGCTGCAATGTACTCTCCAACGAAGAGTCCTTTAACCCCAAAGGCCAGTCTTCTTTATTTCAAAAATATTTTTTCAGTTGTGTTCTTCATTTTCCAGTTTCAGATCTTTGTTTAGAAAATTGATCTATTTTCCTACTGCACAAACAAATGCTTCAGCCTGTTATAACTCTGCTAGATGCAATGTCTTATTCCACATATCTACTGCCTTTTCCATGTATTGTGTAAATGCTGGCAAACATTCTCTTCATTTTCTCAACTTTCAAGTTTGTTTTAATTATTTTCTGGTATAAATACTTTCATGATCCCATCACTCTGGGAGGCTTGTATATAAATAACACAAGAGTACCTAATCTATGACAATGTTTAAACTTAGGAATTTATCTCTTTTCCTTTTCCTGTTTGAGTGGCATCTATTTCTCTTCTACAACTTTATCTCTAATAGACAGCTCCAGTAATCTTCAAATTGCACACTTTCTACATTATAGCGCCCACCCAGATAACCATTCAGTAATCCCTTAAACCAGCTCAAACATTCTGAGCACTTACCATGACTGACAGTGCGTGTAAAAGTGCATTCTGCAGTTCTTGTTCTTTTTCAGATACTCCTAGTTTGCAGCCTGGCCTAAAACGACTAAGGTTTCAATATATTCAAGTTGGTGAGATCAGTCTTTCCAGATTTCCTCTGTCACTTAATTTTGCATGTTCAACTTCAGTTCAGGATTATGATCTCTGAATTTTGGTGATATTGGGAAATATATAAATAGGACTTTTATTTATAACCAAATTTGGGAAAAAATATGATTTTTGATGTTTCAGTTTGAAATTTAGATTAATTTACAAGTACTTTATTAGTGAGAGCTGAGGTTAAAGTCAATTACACAGTGAAGACAGGCTTTAGAGTTTGAGGCAGGAGTGCAAGTATGTACATTTGGTTGTTTGTATTGTATGCAGTTGTGTATTTATTTATGTGCACTCCTTCTTAAATGTACAGTAATCAGAGAGTGAAATTCAACCCTGGGCAGAGGATCAGCATATTATCTATGCACTTCAGTCCCACTTAAACTCTGGTTAGAAGGTTTAATTGCGATGAAGGTGGTGCATAGAACTTTGCATGCCCTGTGAATTTCACCCAGTATGCACACAGTAGATTCCACTCTCTTTTAAGTATCAGAAGATGAGTTTGTGTGTAATCTTGTTTCTTTATGTCACTGTTACAGGATAGAGCAAACAGTGAAATCCACAATCATTTTTTGACTATTACACAAATACGGTACTTAAGTTTCTTCAAACTAAAGAAATGCTAATGACATTTTGCAGTTATATTTAAGCAAATGATAGTTATGTTTTTGATGGTGTACTGTAATATGCACCATGATATTTCTTAATTTATTAGTTTCTATGCTGCCACTCCTTTATGTTGGCAGTAACTACTCTAAAAGGATCATGAGCTGGTTGAAAGTACAAGTCCCGAGCAATTTCAGATCTACAAGCTCCCTGTGGTGAAATAATTATTGCCTTAGAGGATCTAACTGTTGTCCTCATCCCATTAGGAATTATGTACAAGCTAAACATGGATAGATTGCTACAGGTATAAATAATTACTTGCATTGCAGCTGACTTACTGGGTATTGATTTCACAGAAAACTGAAATTTCTGCCTCTGTATTTTTAGTACATTTAGGGCTTAGTATCTTCACCCTTGATACAAAAGTGGGCTCTTTGAATTGTGCTAGTATGGGACAATATTTATATTGTCTTGTATTTGGAAAGAGAACCATAATGATTATGAATTGAGAAAAGACGTGCCCTGCTGTCATATTAAAAAGATGAATGAACTTTCTATGAGACTTCAGTCTTACTTCTAAATTTACACTCATGTACCTTATCAACAATCATTTGCACCCACAATTTTTCTTGAATTTCAGCATCTAACAGCTGAATTTACAGGCACTTGATATGCAAGCAATGATCTGCTGAAATCCTATTTAGCTGTGCTCACAAATTATTTTTTATGAATCATTGCAGGTGCAATTTTAGAGGACATTTAAAAAAATTAGCCCATGCCAGGAATATATATCTATAGAACATTCAATATATGCAATAAAATAATACTTAGCACTTATATTAAATGTTTGGATCGAAAGATCTCAAACTGCTGAACAGCAGTAAATAAGCATTACTATTCCAATTTTACAGCTGGGGAAACTGAGTCATACAGAAGTTAAATGACTTCTCTAAGAGCTCACAATGAGTCAATGGCAGAATTGGAAGTAGAACCCATGGCACCTGATTCTGTCTAAAATCTATGAACTTGGCCACTGTCTCAAAAAATGTGCTGATATAGTTCAATAGAAGTGCTTTGATTAATGGGAGATACACAGCTGCAGGCAGAACTGGGTCCTATGTTGTACTTTAATACCACATTATATGAGCAAATGCACAGAGTTCAAGACCAGAAGATACCATTGTGATCATGTGGTCTGACTTCATGTACAACATATAGAACTTTCCCCCAAATAATTGCTAGAACATATCTGTTAAAAAAAATTACCCTCGCTGTTAAAAATTTACACCTCATTTTCAGTCTGAATTTGTCTAGATTCAACTTTCAGCCATTGGATTGTGTTATACTTTTATCTGCGACATTGAATAATACAATATATCATACCAAAATCAGGGAACTCAAAAGTTAGTAAATATTTTACATGGGAATGTATATTTTGATCCATATTCTTTGGCTGAATATTTGATTATAGCTATTTTTAATCACGTAACCAGGAATGAAAATTACAATCATGAAAAGAGGTCTATCACCATTTAAACTACTAAAGATTTAATTTAAGAACATAAGTTTATGGAAACAAAATATAAAGGTGGCCATAAGACAAGTTCAAGGACTTCAAATACCTTTTTAAAAACAAATGACAGTACCGTGGTTTTAAAAAAAGATTAAAAAAAATAATTTTAGGATATTTTTTCCCAGGAAAAGCCTATTTTAAGAATTTTTGATTAAGCATCTTGATTTTTTTAAAAATAGTATATTTAAACAGCAATAAACAAATTTCTGATACATTGAATAGTAAAATATTCTAGTAGCTGGAGAAAAGTTGAAGAAAAAAACAGAATGGAAACAAGTAACAACACAGACTTCATCTTCATGCCGTCTTTCTGTCCCTGACTCAGAAAAGCACTTAAGCACATATTTAAGGCTCAGCATGTGCTGAAGTCCAGCCATATTCAGCAAAGCTTTTAAAGGTGTGCTTAACTTTTACTATGTAATTTAGTTTCATTGAAAGCAATGGGCCTTAAGGATGTGCTTCAGTGATTTGTGCAAACAAGGCTTCTCCTGTGCCACTGGTCTTGTTCTTCTCCCTTCTCCTTTCTATCATCCACTGCCAAGTTCATCTTTTCTTCATCCTCCGATGTCACATTTATAAAGCAATGGTCTCATTCTGAATTAGAGATGGGCCTGAACCAAAACCTCAATCAAATACCCTTGAACTTTGCAGGAGTTTGGATCTTAACTTTACAGTTCAAGGCCCAACTCTATTTCAACATGATATTTTATTTCATCCACTCCATTGAATGGAGACTCAGTTTCATGGCAACACTAACAGTTACTTTCCAGATTACTTTGTAGAAGGAGCCAACCAGCAACAGAGTCATAGAGTTTAAGGCCAGAAAAGACCATTAGGTCATCTAGTCTGACATCCTGCATATCACAGGCCACCAACACCACCCAGCCCCTGCACACTGGATCCAAAAAGTTAAATTAGACTAAAGCATTACAGCTCCCAGGAGACTAGACTATTAAGTGCCATTGGCAGAGAATAGGAGGGACCAAGGTGCACCAGTTTGAGGTACCTGCAATGGCAAGAAAATGATTAAATAAGATATCCAGAGAATCCTGGCAAGAGGTGTGCAACCACATGCTGCAGAGGAAGGTGAAAAACCCCCAAGGTCACTGCCCATCTGAGCTGTGGGAGAATTCCTTCCTGACATGGTGATCAGTTAGAGTGACCCTGAGCATGTGAGCAAGAACCAGCCAGCCAAGAACCTGAGAGAGAGAATGCTCAGTACCACCTCAAAGCCCTGACCCTCCCCTTCCAATGTCCCATCTCCAGCCATGGCCATCCCTGATGGTTTGGTGAAAGGAAATAAAAATAATAATCGTAAGTGCTGGAACTAGGGGTGCTGCCACACCCCCTGGCTTGAAGTGGTTTCCAGTATATACAGAGTTTATAGTTCGGTTAAATGTCTCTCAGCACCCCCACTATAAAAATTGTTCCAGCATCCCCGATAATAATAATGATGATGATGATAATAAAAACACACCAGAAGACACTGGGAGGAAACAAAGTCCCTCCCTGCAGATGGCTGGCTGACTGGTCAAAAACTTGTGGGCTTTGAGGGGCATGTTCACTCATAGTTGAAGGATTATTGTTAGTCAGGGGGCCAGAACCTCAAGTCAGTACTTCAATGGAACTATGCCTATTTAAACCATTTACACTAACAAGCCAGGGCTTGATTCTTCTCTCTCTCTCATATCATTTTTACACTAGTTTAATTCCATAGACTTCAGCTGAGTTACTTCTGATTTATATTAGTGCAAGTGAAAGGAGAGTCAGTCTCTGGTCCTGAGGCACTGTTGTGTTACCTTAGTTTTACATCAGTGTAACTCCATTTAAATCTGTGGAGTTACACCAGTGCAAACTAGACTATTGCAATGGTGAATCAAGCCCCCTTCAGAGTCTTGACTTTCCTTGACAAGTAACTTTGTCAAATCCTGATAGATCATATTTCACTTTATCTTAAAATGTATTTTTAACTAAACCTCCCTGGAAAGAAGTAATGACTCTTCTCCATAAACAATCTGGGCAATGTTCCTATTTAGTTTCTATCTTATTTTCCCGGTGTTTGCTTCTTTCTGAATAATGTATTTTTTGGTGTTAATGGAATTTCCCCTACCCCTTGCAGTTGGACTTGAGTGTAAACTTCATTTTCTGTGTTATAAATATAATTTGATGGGTTTGATCAAATTTGGAAAAATCAGGAATTCTAACTGAACTAATGTGAAATCAAAGACTTTTGGTGTGTGACCTCACGAGAATCTCAACTTTGATCACCTCAGAAGTTTAGACTTCTAGATTCAAGTGTGGATCTAAGTTATTGAATGTTAAGGGATGATTCGTGCAATCTGACTAATGTATCAGGCATTAATTCTCTAGACATATCCCAGACATATAATCCACATGCTTACTTCCATATACACCAAATGAGACCATATCACTGAAAAAATGCATTTGTACCTATGTTTTATCCTGTTTATCTTTAATACATATTTATAAAGTCTCCCTAGCTAGCTCTTGGGAGTTGTTTGGAAGATACCAAGCATTACAAACTGCTTGTGAGCCATTCTTGGAATTGCCATGACTGCAAAGACGTGCACTTTATAACTCCTGAAAAACAGTGAGGAGGAGGTATAAAAGTATTAAAAAGCCTGTGTGTAGTGGCTATGAGCAAAGCAAAGAGCCTCTGTCCTTTATAATAGCAATAACCACCTGGGGTGCAGGGTATTTACAGGACTTACTAACTAGGTGAAGCTAACAGCCCTCAGAGTGCCTCCACACATAATTACATTGCAGCTAGTCATAACTTCCAGGAAATGGCCTATGATCAGGTAGTTATTGCTTAATTGCAATTTCCTCAGATTCAGTTGCATTCATCTGGATTTTATATGGCCAGCTCTGAGTCATTCCTCCTCATTTGAAAAAGTTGGGAGACTCTATGCTTGTTTTTTATTGACAAATACAATAAGTGTAAGACATGTATGGTTAGTGGTTTACGTGCAGGACTAGGCATCAAGTATTCCTGAGTTCTGATATAATCGTTGACCCTGACTAATCTCCATCACTGGGGACATCCAGGCCTCACAACTAATGTCCCTGAATGGAATGTGTTGATCCCATTTGCATGAACTCCCTGTTCTCCAAAACTACTTTTGGAGGAGAAAGCCAGGGTTCCACAGCAGGGGAGTCTTTCCTCTAAATGAGTCAGTCTATCAGAAACATTTGCACAGTTCAAAAGACCACATGGGTAATTTGTGCTGGACAGAGACTTTCTGAGACTGCTGGCACAGAAAGGTAGGTTGGGTTGAAGTCCTGTTCAAAATCAGACCAGTCAACTCTAAATTAAATTTATGTCAGCATCTTGGCTTTTTAAATGATTTTAAAATATTTTTCCACTTTGGCCAAGATGTTTTCTTTCCCAATGTATATAGGTCCTGAGAAGGGGCACTCCATCAGAGTCTTAGAACATCTGTGTGACCAAAGGAAGGAATGGAATGAATGATTTCATGTTCTCTTATTTTTTCCATGAAAAGCTTTTGATTTATCAATGATGATTTATAAAGACAGCTTTGCCTTCTTTTCAGGCAGGTGTTAATGAAAATGATTTTTATGATGGTGCTTGGTGTGCAGGACGAAATGACCCATACCAGTGGATTGAAGTAGATGCTCGAAGGCTAACAAAGTTCACTGGCATTATCACACAAGGGAGAAACTCTCTTTGGTTGTAAGTACATGCTTATTTTGCTGTCTATGATTCTAAAGTTTGGATCTAAGTTTGTTCATTTTTTCTCAAGGAAGAAAGGGAAAAAGAAGAGATGATGGGACATAAGCAATTAAACAGAAAAAAGATAAAATGCATGCTGTTTATACAGTATTGTGTATACGGAAAACAAATCTGAAGGTAGCAGATTACCACACCCTTAAACTACACATGTCAAGAAAGCAGGACAACACACTTTGATAACCCTCATCATTACCACTTAAGTGATGAGTAACCCTGTGTACCCAAATACGATTATTTAAACCAGTGTGCAATTTGCTGATATTATGTTTCCTGTCTGTTTTCCAATATTTAACAATTATCCATTTTTCAGTCATGCTGGACTATAATATCGAATCCCCAAGATTTACTAGTACATCAGCAATCACAAGTTAATTTATACTCTGGAGTCACATAAATTAAGTCAACATTTTCAATAATTATTTGCATATCATCTCATTTCAAAAGGATATAAAAGGATAAAACAAAATCTGAAGATATTACAACAAAACATGATATACATTTTGATCAGAGTTCCAGCATCTGCTATTGCACTGAGCATGTGCATTCTGGTTGGAGTCCATGGAATTGAGGTGTGGCCAGTAAGCTTGCCTCATTCTACAACTTCTCCAAGGGACATCCTGCCAGAAGAAGGACAACTCCTCCTCTCTCCTTGGAGACTGTGGTCTATGTACCCCATTCTGGAAAAGCAGAACCCAGAAACTCAGCTGCTGGGCACTCCTGTGCTGTCCCTTGTAAATACTGAAAGCATCCTGGAGTCCCATGTCTGGCAGCAGAGTGAGGGATCTGACTATGAATCTCACACAGTTGATGTTTTGCATTTGCAGTTATCCATTTTACACATATAATTGCACATTTTGTGTGCAAAAACACCTCTTCATGACCAGGCTCCTTGTTAAAATATATAGCTTAGGCGCCTATTGCATTTTTGAAAATTCATCCTGTTATGTCTACCATTCAAATTGTCTCTGCATTGGACATATTACTTTAGCAAAAGGCTGATGGTTCATGTGGGACTTTTACTTCCCCAGTTGGCATAAAAGTGCAAAATCACTGAAGGAGTTGATAAGACTACATATAATAACACAGAGAACTGGACTGATACTCAGCAGACCTGCATGCTATTCCAGCCTCTGCCACTGGCCTGATGGCTGACCTTGGACAACTCACTTCACTTCAGTGTGTCTCTGTGTCCCCATCTATAAAATGGGGATAGTGATACTGACCTCCTTTGTGAAGAGCTAGGTGGAATTTTTATTATTCGCTGCCCAGCATGGCCCCACTCATGAACAACAGAGCAAACCTTGCATATACTTAGTGGAAGCATTAATTAGAAAGGGCCCAATGGAGTTGTATGCGGGGCAAAAAGAGGGAGAATATATTTGAATTTTCTTTAAACCTCCTTTCTCTGTGCCTGATTCTGATTAACATTGATGCAAGTGACATGAAAGGGGCCTCCACTGAAGTCAATGGAGTTACCCCCCTATAAAACCAATTAGAATTAAGCCCTACAAGTACAATGTTCTCTTAAGGGATATAGTATATATTTTGCATCTTCATGCAATATACATTCAAATCTCCCTTTGACCTCTCTCTGCATTATTCAAGCACGTAATCCCATTGGTACTATTGCAACGACTTCAGTGAGTAGGGGGTTGCAGGATTTAACAAGATCTGTATCCCATACTGTAAAAGATGTATTAGAAAAACAATCACTCTGGTAAAAACAAACTTTCCCTTTTTATACTGTAATTTCTGGTATTGATTTTCTTTTTCGTACTGGTGTGGGAGTGGGAGCCTGTGACGATGAGTTTGCTATAGTTATTCCTCATTGTTCTGTGATAGGTAATTACTGTAGCAAAGGATCAGACATCTCCTGTATTTATACATTAGACATCCCTTGTGCCAGCTATCATTTATACCAGCACATAACTTCTTTGTCTTTGTCATGTTGCTGGGTTTTAGTTTATATTATGCAGTTTGCAGCAGGGCAGGAGGCCCTATTTACATTTGACACACATCGACTTCTTGGTTTTTAAACTTCTGAACAAGATGCCTGATCCTGTCCTCATTAAAGTCAACGGGTAGAACTCCCACTGACTCTCCGGGGGGGCAGGGTGCAATTTCCTTCTCCTCATGTACCCATGCATCTGCATAGTGTCTGTCTCAAGCCTTGGCTACACTGGCAATTCACAGCGCTGCACTTGCTGTGCTCAGGGGTGTGAAAAAACACCCCCCCCCCGAGTGCAGCGAGTGCAGCGCTATAAAGCGCCAGTGAAATCAGCACCTGCAGCGCTGCACGCTCACTCACAGCACTGCAAGCTATTCCCCTCAGAGAGGTGGAGTACTTGCAGCGCTGCGAGACAGCTCTCGCAGTGCTGGCCGCATGACTACACTCATGCTTCACAGCGCTGCCGCGGCAGCGCTGTGAATCCGCGAGTGTAGCCAAGGCCTCAGATGTTCAGGCCAGGCTCAAAATTCAGCCCTTCTTGAGTAATGACAGTGTGCATGCTTTCAAATAGCCCCTGGGGCCTGATCCTGCTTTAGTAACGTGCCAAACCTTTATTGCCTACCACAGGAGAAGGATCAGGTCCTTATTTAATATTTGACTCCCATTTGTAAATTGTAACTTTTATTTTTGTGCTATTTGATTTGGTTAAACTCTGCTCTTTAATCTCCTATCTCAGAGATGGTTTAAAAGCAGAGATTCCATGTTAAGCTTCAGAGGGCTGATAAATGAATCTGGAGTGACAAAGTGTAATTTTAAAACACTAGAGGAAAAATGATAATGTTTACTGCAATGGATGCTTAACTTTTGCTGTCAGCCTTCCTAACATGCGGTATGTGTGTGTTTGCATTTTCTAGATACAATCTATCAGTTTGAAGCTTTATCTGGGCACATGATTTTATGGCTTTCAGAAAAACACAATACATTTTAAATGACCCAAAAGAGATGGTGTAAATCTTCATCCAGATGAATATGCATCTGCTATGTCATACACGTTTATCTGAAAGCTGAACTAGTACAGGTTTCTTGGTTTTATTTGTTGGATCAGGAAGAAAATATTATGTTGTTGCTAGCTATCATGTATTCCGCACAAATGTGTGTGGCACCACAGAGAGCAAGTGTGAGGGGCGGTACTAGCTCTGAAGGGCTTAGCTTCAGAATAGATGACTGACTAGGAATGATGACAGACAAGTGGGATTTAAGGAGAGGAAGGATAAAAGTGACTAATATTATGGGATTGCTTTAGCTAGTTCTGAACACATAGGTCTCGAATTTTCAAACACACTCATGTAGGCACCAAAACAGGTGTCCAGATTTTGAGAACACTTCAGAATGTTACATGCAGTGCTCTTTTAATCTGACTGTAGATGTCACCATCTGAACTCCTGGATGCTGAACTCTCATGTGAAAATCTGGCCACAGTGATGTCAGGTTATGTTTTGTTTTTAAATATTTTTATTGTTTCTAAATAACTGTACCCTTTAAAGTGTCTCTACTTTCCTTTGTTCCTTCCTCATCGTTTGGTCAAGCAAAGAAGGGTGGTAAGAAGGGAATAGGGAAATGGGGGAGGGGGGGTGTAATGATGAATTAATAGGGGGAAAGAGAAGGTGGATAGAGAGGGCTAGAAAAGGGAGGATAAAAATAGAGATGGTGAGGGAGAAGTATATGATGGATGATAGATAGTGGAAGGAGAAGGATAGCTCAGTGGTTTGAGCATTGGCCTGCTAAACCCAGGATTGTGTGTTCAATCCTTCAGGGGGCCATTTAGGGATATGGGGCAAAAGTCTGTTGGATGATTTAATTGGAAATTGGTCCTGCTTTGAGCAGTGGGTTGGACTAGATGGTCTCCTGAGGTCCCTTCTAACCCTTATAGTCTATGATGATGGGGGAGTGAGGTAGGTCAGCAGGGTGATGGAAGCAGATTTTAGAATGCAGAAGGAGAAAGTCTAGTACAGGGAATGCTTGGTGATATCAAGAGGTGAAAGTTCTCTTTTCTGCTGCCTGCATTAATGGCTGTAGGACTTCAGATGGCTTAATGGCCTTTTACAGGCAACCCAGTAGCTGCTTCTGATAGGATGATGGGCCTTCTTGTGGTTTGGGTGGGCTGGTGGCCTGTTGTCCCAGAGTGGCTGCTCACTGGTCTGATGGAGGTAGGAGGGAAGGGAATTCATAGACTTGGCTCTCTCCCCTGGTTCCTTATTGCTGTTGATTGGGAGGGCAGTCAAAATGACTATTTATGGCCCAAAGGTCTGTATAAGATGCTGTTGTATCACCTGAGGTACTGCCCCATTTTTTAATTTAAAAAAAGACATGAAGAATATTCCTTTGCCAACATGTGTTCCATTTGAATAAGAGAACCAGGAAATACCCTTCTGCTGAGTTATGCTGTGTTAAAAGAAAAGATAGCCAAACTTACTAGCCAGTGGGAGACTTTGAAGAGTTTACCAGTGAGAAAAAAATATCAAGGCACCAAAATATACCAGCTTCTTGCAATCAAGCCAGGAGAAGCCACAGGTTATCACTGGGTCAAGGAATTGATCAGATCAAGTTTAGTTAGTGCTCTGTGTTGTTGGAAATAAAATTCAAATGCTAGACTCTTCACCCCGCCCCCCCTTTACACAGGAATACAAGTCTGAAAACTCTGTAGAAATGCCATGTTTCCAGGGTGTGGGCTGTCATGTTACAGTAATAAAGACTCACATAAGTCACTTTCTCTAAACATTGAACAATGAACTTTATTACAGCAAGAAAAAAAATTAACTCCAAAGCTACTCTCTGTGCTTCACTGTAGAGCTGCTGCCTAGGTTAGAACCGGCTATAGATTTAAAGAAACAGTACACATATCCTAGGGTGACCAGACAGCAAGTGTGAAAAATTGGGGCAGCAAGTGTGAGGCTAAAAGGCACCTATATAAGATAAAGCCCCAAATATTGGG